TCGTACTGACGGAACTTCTCTGCCCAGGCCTTGAGAGCCGAGTCTGCTGGAAAAGACCTCTGCTCATCGCCGCAAGGCATAAGATCAACCATTTCGACGATCAAGCAACCACCCGGGTTGAGATTGTTGTAGGCAATTTTAGGGAAGTCCTGCCAATCTACGATGCTCTCGACGACTCGCGCGTGAATGATGTCGTAGGGACTGCCTTTGCGCCACACATTTTCGTCGTCTCCTATAGCAATGGTCAAATTTTCCGGAAGTTTGTCCCTGCATAACTGTAAGAATGTGGATTATTTGGGCAACCGATTCGGCTTACATTGGCGGGTGCAAGTCGGTAATGTCGTAACCCACCACTCGACCATGCAAGTCCCTTACGCACCTTTGCATTTGGTCAACTTTGCGACTCTAACGATGGGAGGACTCGTGACCAACTCTGCAATTTCAACCGACCAAATTCCAGTGCGCATGCCATAATCAATGATTGTGCAGCTGTAAGGCAAGGAATTTAGGTCTACCTTTGCTCTGGGCTCGTTCTTCAGAGTGTGGTGCAGCAGATCGTACGCATCTTTCAGATAGGCCTGAAACAAAGTTAGTGCGAACAGAATCAAGAGAAAGAGGTGCATTTACGACGTTGAGGCTTGGGTCGGTGTTATCCTCAGATAGATAATACGGCATCCTCTCGGGGGAGAGCTCAGCATGTGTCATCTTCGAATGGGCAACCTTGCTACTTGTGTTTGGGGCTGAGTAGCTTAGAACCGCCGACCAACTGTTGAGATGCGATTACCACCTTTATAGAACATCCAACCCATGTCCGGTGCTACTAAAGCCTGGTGGTCATGTGATTCAACACCCTGCTCTGAGTTGCGGTCATTTCCCTGTTGGTTTGCTCGCAATCAGGGCCGCCTGTCACCCTGCCTTTCGTGAGCTCTCTTGGCCTTGAAAGTTTCCACACTCGAGGACGCTCCATCGGACATCGGCCATATAGCACTCACCGACTTGCTACGTGTTGCTCATCAGTCCGAGTTGAGGTGCGGTGGCCCTTATCTTGATAGGCATGAACCTTGCGAGCGTTCAGGGATGACCCCTAGTGGCTAGTCTTCCTTTCGGCTCGTCACTGAAACCATTCGACTCACCCCCTACACAGAAGGTGAATGGAACCTGCGGTAGTGAGCGGGATTTTGCTGTGAGGGTTCCTCGCGAACTCGCGTGCTTGGGAAGATCCTAATGGGCTAGCCCCTTGGATCTAGGGAAAGTTCCCGTCGCAACACGTTGCTGCTTCAGGCGCCCGTTGAGGCATGAGAGTTCAGGACGCCTCGAGCATATCGAAACATCTACTGTAGTCCCGTTTCGGAAATCATCATGTTGTACTGTGTTGTGCGCAAAGACACTGATATCTTTGAGATGCCCAAGGGCGAAAGCTGGCTAAGAACACGACTCCTATTTGAGCGGGTGACCATCTCAAAAAGCCCCCCCAAACTGCACGTTTCGAGCCGTGCAAACACGCCGGCCCTGGAGGACGAGGGCGCCCTTCCAAGACATGCCTTCTTAGCTTAGCATGCCTACGTGCGCCATAACCCTCACGAGCTCATCCCAAACCCTTGACGCTTGTGCTGTGTTGCCAGCAAGAACGAAACAAGGCTGCTCGGGATATTCACGTAAGGTCGTTGTAGTGGGTACGAACTGAGTTTCCTGTCCGCGATGCGCAAGTGATGGTGCGAGTGTGGGTGTCGGGTTGTGAAAACTCTCTGTTGTGATAAGCTCATGATTTGGATGGGGTCTCCGTCAGCTCTCGCACGGATGGGAGGACTCGAGGGAACTCGGTCTTCAGCGGTGGGGCTCAGAAGATGAATGAATTACGTGGTGTTGTTCCTAGTCGGATTTGGCCAATCTGGTTTGCAGCAACCTCAGGGAAGCGTTCTACCACTCGGTGGCGGATGTGCTCAATTAGCCGCCTGCGGAGGGTTCATTCACCAAGCGCTCGCTATCAGGCTGCAGATTCAGCAACATCGCTGGGTCTATGGTCCATAGAACCGCGCGCCTCCGGTAACCCGCGGGTTCTCATGGAGCCATGGTGCACGTACTCAGTACGTTGCCGGCCCTGACTGGCTGGAAGATCAACGAAGTTAATATGCGGCCTTTGCCTAGGAGGGATGATCGGGCTCTTACTCATGCCCAGGTGAGGGTAAATTGCAGTAAGAAATCTAGTAGTCGTAAATAGGCACAGCTGCGCGTGGGAAGGGGAATCTGACGAGGCTGCTTTATCGACGGAGAGCACAGTCTCGGGAGGTGGCGAAAGGAGGCGCCTTCCCTCGAATAAGGCTATCAGATTCATGGGGAGGTTCTTATGTAGTTGGTCTTAAACAGTCGTCCTTGATTGGTGTGCTACTGTAGCCGTGCATTTGTGCTTCTTGACTGCACCTTTCCATCACCAGGATCTTTTCCCTGAAGAATTAGCCTTGCCACCGCCTGTGTACTGAATGCGCATAAGCCATAGCCTCCAGCTTCTGAGGGAAGGTTTTGCATGCACGGATCTCCGCTCGTGGGGATTCAGCACCATTCAAATGTCATTGCCGAACTCGGCGACCGTATTCATCCTGCTTGCTGGACTGTGGACTCAAGCCTGATGGCAGATCTTCAGTATGGTCGGCAGTGGCATAATGGATGGGGATGAGTGTGGTTGTATTGCTTAGAGTCATCTGCTGGGCCTGTAGTGGATCTATATTCGCGATCGTTGGAGACTTAGACTCTTCTTGCCTCTTCTTCTTTCTCTTGTCCTTTTTACTCAATTTTCTGCAGCTGCCTTCTGCTTTTGGTCCTGCCTTTAATGCCGAAATCGAATCCCACGAGATTGATGTGAGTCTTGCGTGCTCGACTCTGGCGCGTGTTTCAGGATGCGTTGCGCTGTCAGGCTGGCTGTACGAAATGGTCAGCTTTGCCATTTGGCCTTGTCTCCGAGCACGGGTAGTGCGAATCGTACCACGGGTTAAGTTCCTGAAGCCCGGCGGTGGTGCATGGATCCCACAGGGCGAAAGCTGGATTCGTATTTTCTAGGACAAGCACCACGTCCCCATCAGGATCGAGCGTGTGCGAGCGCCCAATAGGGTCGCGTTGCTCAAAGATGCTGTCGGTAGGCGCGGCGCGTAGAGGCGCAGTCATGGCAGATGCTGGTTCGCAGTCCGGTGATGGAATCAAGCGAGGATTGAACAGCCAGACAGGTGTTGTTCTAAGTTTTCGTTGATGGCGCTGGACTGCCGTATAACCCATCACGGCAAACGTGACGGGTAGGCCAGGCATTGTGTCACTATGCGTATTTCTCACGCAAGCTTCCCCTTTCGCAATAATGTGCCGTACGCGCGCTCAGATGCAAGTTCCTCTAGTCAAGTTGCGCTGGAGTCTGTGCCGGCATCCGTATGGTCCTCAGCCAATCGCGCACTCTCACTATGCACTGCATGACATTCCGCTCGAAGAGCTGGCAGTGCCGGGGGCATCGGCTACGTATCTCGAGCTACGGTGCACAAACAGTAGTTCTCCAGCCTGCCATATCTTGAGACCCCCGTACCCCAGTGATGCTGACCAATCTGCCAATGCATTTGTCAATCCAGCAAAGCAAATCAAGACATGCATTTGGCGCATCTATCTCGCCTGGGCGCCTTGAGGGGCGAAAGATCGATGCTATCCTAAAGCCAATGATCACCAATTTATTCATACGGCCCTTGGCTTCACGCCCAATGGGTAGGTACACTGATCATTGCTTCCCTGACTGTTCATTTCGCTATCGTCCGGGCTCTCCAGCAACCCCTCCATTCAAATTAGCATGAAGAGGCTCATCCTCAAGCCGTTGATTGGGCAGTGTTTCTTGTTGGCTTCGGAATATCAAGTTTCCGACAGCCGCGTCGCCGACCAAAGATGCAGAAGCCCGCAAATCCCCATCCGCTAACTGACCGACCACTTACCATCCGCCATGACCGGATTATCAGAACAGGTCAAGCGCAATCCCATTGGAAATGGGCTTGATGATGTTCGCAGTACTTTCAAGTCCGTATGCACCAGGGAAAAGACGCCATATTCTACAGATTCAGTAGATCAACTCGGCCAGGAAGGTACGAGCCCTGGCTCTCGCTGCTTAACCCCTTTAAATCATTCACAGATCTACGGAACCTGACCCTCCCTCTCCTGGTTGCGATATGCGAGGGAAGTGCTCGCCGCACAAGACACCCGACGCTTTGTGATGGGCTTCACGCTCTGTGGATCTCTCATGAGAGTGTGGGCCTTTGACCGGCTTGGAGCCCTCGCATCAGAGCAGTTTGACATCAACAAAGACGGCCTGCAGTTTGTGT